GCAAATGAGCCTAATGTAACCATTACACCCGAATCGACGTCCGTACCCTCGAGGTCGATTGTTTTGAGAGCTGGACAATTGACAAGAATATTTTTTAGGAAGTTTCCAGAGCTTAGTCCACGAGCTCCCTCGAGATACAATTCTTCAAGGTTGTCCATTTTCGGCCATTCAGAATCCACGCCGCAAGCGTTAATGGTCCCACCAAGGTCCAAGACTCGAATATTTATAAAAGATGAGATTTGGCTTGAATTTAAAAACGCATTCATCTCAACAAGCAAGTCACGAACCGACAATATTGTCAGTGTCGCTCGGAAATGTTCGAGACTGACGTATCGATGTCGCCCGCGCGCGCAAAAGTTCATGTCCTCTACCGCCTGTCGTCACAAAAATCAAACGCAAAAAAAAGTGCAGCTTTCTACTCTTCCATAAATCTACAATTATTATTACTGGTAGCTTTTCTTCTTGTGGACCAGTACTCTGTGCATTATTCATACACGGATTACTGCCTTCCGTCAAAGTTATCATAACAGCTATTTTTATTTAAATAATATGCAAGCTAGAAATTAGGAAGCCGTACAACTGCCATATTTGCCACAACTAGTTGTAAAAGCTTTCATTCTAGTTCGTCAACTTACTAACTTACAAACTAGCTGCTTGACTGTGTTCACAAATATGGAAAATCTCTAGCAAAGACATCAGGTCTTCTACATTTATGAACGTAATTGACAGGTTTACGTGTTTTAGGGAAGTATTAAGGGTTAACGAGCTTCTTTCTAGAATGGTATAGAAAAACAAACACAAAATAGCGTTATCTATTCAAGCACTGAACGATTTAGACCGAATTTTCATTGCGAAACGCGAAATCCCAAGATGCTTCTTGTCGCCACCGAAAAAAAGTTGTACCTTAAGGGGACACCAATCACAAACAAAACTACATAAACCTATTCCGTAAGCTGATTAACTAAAAAGGAAGACAGTACTAAATAAAACGGCAGGATATGCTTACAGAGAAGGTTCAAAATTGATATTAGGTACAAGAACCGACCAACTGTTTAATGGCGGGGCAGGCTTTTCCAAGTTTTTTGATTTTGCGTGCTGGGACCGAACGCTTTAACAACACGCTGGAGTCTCCATGTAAGATAAGCTCCTGAGTAGGTCCAGCGCTTCGGGCTTTCAGGGTCGAGGCGATCACCGCATGAAGTAACTCGGGAGTGACTTCATTAAGGACCTCACAATACTTCGAAAAAGGTGCACGCTGTTTCAATTTTCTCTGAAGACAGAAAAGCAGTCTGCCAACTTTAAAACAGCTCTTCCAGAAGATGATCTCTTCTTCTATGTTTTCACCTATGCAATGTTCTTTGAATGAGCACGTATGTTTTCAACTGAGGGCTATCGCGGTCAAGTTATATGGATTAGCAAGCTAGCGTTTCACATAAATGAATTAATAGGAGCCGGTGGACGAAAGTCTAAAAGCAAATATAACGACACGTAACATTATTACCTTTACATAAAGTCCGACCTAATACATCGTTCCAACCTCGTAACAGCTTGAATACTTTAAACGTTTCCTAGACATAGTTATAGCTATTCACGAGCTCAACTCAAAATAGACCAGCAGCCGCCGATTTAAGCGCTGACAATCAGTAGCTAGGAGTAGAATATCTATCGGCGTTCTAAAATCATGTGAAGTCTATTAAGGTAGCGACATGTAGCGATAACTGACACGCAAATAATGGCTATCTCGCTCTGTTCTTAAACGTTAGCTAGGAGCCAGTTACTTAAATCGATAATGGAACATCTCAAGTGCACAATTTTATTGGCTATGTTTTTTTTTTTTTTTTTTTTTTTTTTTTTTTCTAGACATACTAGGACGACACAAAAAGCTCGGGAAATATACTGAATCAATCCGTAAAATGCCTCCGGTAGCATGTTCTGATGAGTTTACTTACATTATTATGGGTAGCTCTATCAACTTCATCATCAGATGTCAACTCGAAGATTCCGAAGTCACCAGATCTGGGCCCTCGATCCTGGCGGTATCGCGGCCATCTGAAGGCGTTTCATATTCGTAGAGACTGGACGATGCTCACGAATTTTGGGAACGTTTACTGTTAAGGCCCTGGATCAAAATTCTGATGCGATCTACCAACAACGCTCCAAAAAACAGCTGCATCCTGATGAGTTAGAGTTAGAATCGCACCTCTAAAACGGGCAACAGGGTTGAACCGATTGAACTTCTAGAGGATTGTCGGGTACCCCCGCATGCGCACGAGTACTTATTTAAGCAATTGTTCTGCCCGTACGTTTTGTTATAAAATGCTACTAATATGTCATAGATAGTTATCAGCCGCGTGAACTCAACGGGCTTATAATAATACATTTACTTAAGCGTTCAGCAAGACAAAATTACGTGAAGAACAGTGCTCTATTTATGCATTACATAATATCCCTTTTAACTTATACAAGTGTTTTTACAAGACATGTGGCAGAAAATTTTGAACGGATATTGTTATTATAATAATAATAAGCAAAATGAGCACACGAATATGCTAGAGACGACTTGTTGCTTTTAGAAAACAAAATTGTTTGCAACATTATGCGGCTTTTCTGTAAACCCGAACCCAAAAGGGCGATAAAGTATTTTCATCACGAAGAGAACAACTAAGAAGTTCCATAAAGCTGTAACAGTCAAAATAGGATAGTTTCCTTTGGATCCACTAAGAAATTACCGCATACAACTTAAAAGCACATAAAGGTACTACAAAATAAACAGTTGCATGTGCAATATGTCGCAAAGAATACCCAAATTGTCAGTAGTTTGGCAGTATCTTGTTGTAAATTGGAAAATGTCAAGTGTGTTTCAGTACGAGGTAGACGTTGTGCTCCATTTGAATCGAAAAAAAATAGCACTATCCGCCGACCCATTGTGATCGTTCCCTGTCATCGCCCCATCATCACATGGTTTCATGCAAAGATTTTTTTACCATAAATCACTATGGCCGGTTGGTCACCGGATTCACTTCAGCAGGCTTAGCATATATTGTACTTGGCAGCTGTTACGAGAAGAGAACGGTACCGAAGGTAACAAGATATCGTGCGCGTCAACGGCATTAAATCTTTCTGCACCCTCCAAATGAATTCGACTTACGTTTTCAGTACGCCGGAAACGGAAACACGGAATCTATCGGACCAGCGGGCCTTGCCTCGCGTGGGATTGGGCTTACTCGAACAGTTCCGGAATGTCAGCTAGACAGACAAAACTCCGATACACGAAGAACTTCGAAAGTGTATCAGAGTGTGGCTGCCACCCTCTCCACTCCACCCCAGTGATCACGACCGTACAAAACATTGGATGCAAAAACCCTGTACTTCACTGAGCTTTGTTTCACTCAATGCGTTGTGCTATTGATGATTTCGATCTCGCAACTCATCGTCTCTCTGATCCGGTGCCCTCTCCACTCAGTTTTTACTTTGTCTGCTATAACAATAGCATATGCCGCATGTGAGCAAGACACAATATTACGTGCTATAAACTTTTCGCACCCCCTCCCCCCTCCTCCGGAACTAAGAAGCAATAAATGAATCAGCCCGACCTAAGGCTCTGAATTAAGTCTGAAGGCAATGAGTTTATTCGGAAACACAAGAAGTGTGGACGAAAACTAAGGCCAAGTAATTCTCGCGCATCGCAATATACACTACTCTACCTCGCAACGCTTTACCAGCGCTTACCATGACACACTACCTATAAAATTGAGGTTGGCACAAACCGATTTATAGTAGTCAGCGGGGCGGAGACTCGTAGGAGCTTTTATGCGTAGGACAAATGACATATGCGATCGTAATTCTATCTAACGTAATTTACAGTGGCAAATTCAGCTGTTAGTTTGCTTGAAGGGGTAATATTGTGAACCGCAAATTACCATTTGAAAGAACAGACGATAGTGAGGTACGACTAGCTGAATTTACTCGCGACGAGATGCTCCGCGCGTGCAGGTGCAACGCGACTGTTATACAGGAATAGTGTACGCGCATACAGGCTGCGTATGCATGCCGACAACTTGCCCCTTTCTAGCTGTGAATTTAAGGCATTCTTATTGACTGGAAGTTACGCAAGTTTAGAATAAGATCGGTAGCCAGCTGGTGCCAGCCATAGGTGCTGAGATGCAATTACTTTTTAAGCGAACCGAAACGACTGGTAGAAGACATTGTGCTAGCGACATCTAAGGAGTCATTCTCTTGCTCTTACATATTTTTCTCTTCTCCGCCAATCGCGTTTGTTGTATATTTAAAGATAAATGCTCATTATATCAGTGTTCTGTTTCTAACATGAATTATATATCGAAGCACAGAATTTACAAACGCACCATTGACTGCCAACGCAAGAACGCTGACGTATACACAGCAGGATTCGGACGATCTAAAGCGAGTCCTTAGAATATCATTACATTGACTCTTGAGAGGTTGGAGTGTGCGAATTTTTGTTTAATACCGTTGTCCTTATACTAAAGTTACATTACATTACATGCTTCTTATAACAGGTTGTAGCTTTTGGTAGTCGTTGTAACGAACCTGACGGTTGAATAAGGACGAAATAGCATTTCTGCTTTTTTTTTTTGAGAACCCCTTCAGTTTATTTATCTTTACGCTTAAATAAATACTGATTAATTATCATTGTCGGCCATTTTTTCCCCGTGCCTATCCATTCCTACATAGTATGTACATTGGCATTAGCGTCGTCGGCCAACATGTCGTATGAATTGCGACAAATTGGTACCAGGCAATCCGAGCTTCAAAATATATACTTTCTCTTTTGACGAGACAAAAAGTTATTCACACATAAAATAATCCATTTAATCTGGTTTATGTATATTATTTTCTAAATTAATAAGCTATTGCTTTTGATTAGATAAGTTCCACGGCCATATATTACGTGCTCTCACATTATTGTGACTCCCTGTGTATAATGGTTAATATATAAATATGGACATATAATAATCGTGTTACGTTTGTTTTCGGCTGAAGCCTGCTACGTCATGAATCCTAATATTATTTACAAATACAGGAATGGTATGCAAATTGCCAGTGACCATCTAAGGATTTGTAGCGCTTTTACCTCTTCATCTCGGTACTCATACTCACACCTCATTAACTAGTATCTGAAGCTTCCTTTAAAAGACTCGAACGCATTGAGTGTGACTGGAAGCAAGCTTACGAAAACCATGATCTACCTACTATAGTTCCAGACGACGAACAGAAGCTAAACACAAACGAAATCTAAACAAATAACGAAAATACTCGTTGATTTTCATTCACGCTAGAACACATCTCGTCGTCACAGGCATATAAATAATAAAGTCAAAATTATATAACGCTTCGATGTGGTGTATTGTACGTTGTTACAGAGGAGGCAATATTACGTTCTAGTTGCAAGTACCGAGCCAACCAGCCGAGAGCACCAGAATCATCAATGTCACGTCTTGCTAAATGGAATGAATTAAGTACTGGAACTCGATTATACGTTAAAAATACGTAAAAAACAACTTTTTTTTTTTCTCTCTCTTTCTCTCTCTGTTCAGTTTGGCAGGATCGATATAGTTTGTAGACTGTCAGAAGACTATCGTTATCCTTGATCTTCGTGTAAGTTCAATTATCTCATCATGGAAGGTATCTATCGCTTCATCTTAGTCGCATTACATCGTCACTGTGTGAGTGCGCGAGTGTAGCAGCTACACGTTTTCATCATCAGCAGCAGCAGTTAGTTCCCTTCCGCTTTCATATAATGCCTTGTGTTATCTAGTATTATTTGCTTCGATAATAGCGTTAATAAAAGCTGCATACAAAGGTGGTGAGTTCGAGTCTCCCATGTGTTATATACTTATTTTATTTTTATGACCTTACTTAATTTCAAGAAATATTTTCCCTATCGGCTTTTATTGATAACGCTTCGATTATCAATAATTAGTAAAATGAGTTCATGTCTGGAACGTTCATTTGAATGTAGGCATCCTCCTTGTAGGCCTATTTGTTAGTGGAAATTTGCTGTACACGTATGGTAACCCATTCTGATTAAGTAATTCATCTTCCTTGTTCTTCTGTTGGAAGCATATATAGCCATACAAATTAAAACGGCCGACCATAGTTTTACTGAACTACCATATTTTGACAGTCGACACGAAACGGTCGCATGCATTGTATTCTGCCCACATTCTTTCCGCCCAGAAAGAAATTATATATATATATATATATGCCAAGCTGAGGTCGGCAAGGAAATAGCGGTGATTGGCCGCTTGGTCCTACATGCGAGATCCTACAATAGGAGATCCACAGCACTGCTCATCTGCCGAGTCGTCCCACGCTTGCGCTTATACTTGGAGGAATCCTGTCAGTGGAAGGCGGCAGGTGAAATTACTTATCCTAGCGCACACAGGATATGACGACTGACTGTGTTTCCTATAGCTATTACGGTGTTTATGCTCATAAAGCGTTGCCGATCGAATCCCCAGACTGCTTAAACCTGGTGGCTGACGATGTGGACGACTGCAACGATGACTCCTGCATTTTAGCCGTGGGACGTTGTGGCGCATCTAGTGACCATACTTGTCGGATTTCGTTTCGAGTCAATGATGACCGTGAAGAAGTTGTGGCCGGCTGATGAGGCGTGTCGTCTTCAGTTTGTTGTGAAGGAGCGATGTAGTGTTCAACTCCATACGGTCGCAAGTGATACAGTAGGTACTCCATGACGTACATCATGTTTGGCGATACGTAATGAAAAGAGATTGCTGTATCTGAACAGCACTCCATGCCCTGCAAAACAGAAAAAGGTCAAAGGACAATAGGCACCGTCATTAAATTTAGCTTTTTGAAACTACCAATATTTACATCTTCTGGCTTACGATCAATTCCAATAATGTATTGTGCCAAGCGAATATATTTAGTGTTTCTAATGAGTAATAATGTTCATGATTAGACGAAAAACCTTTGAGACGAGTGCATAATTAAACGAGAACTGAAGGAAGCGAATGTTTTTTTAGGGAGAATATTTCCTTGAGACATGTATGCCTCATATTCTTCGGGTAATTTGTAGCTATTTAAGCTAGAAACCTATATATACGCAGTGATATACATATACACGCCATATGATCTTCAGTAACTTGTAAGCCACTTACGCTTTTCATTGGGTAGTAGGTATAGTTCCAAAACCAGAAGTCGGGTGGCATATGACCCGGGATGAGATGAGCCTCAGGTGTGAGCGGGAAAAATCTGCCTCTGCCCCCAGCGTCACGTGAATCGCCCGCGTCGACGCCTACATCCGCTAAACACTTCCCGAGCTCTACGTCTTCCGCACCGTTGTGGTCGCGTCGACATTTTGTTTGGTTCGAGCGGATACCAAACTCGATGAACCTTCAAAAATCGACCATGACATCACTCGTTATAACATGACGGGTGTACACTATACATACGTATATGCTTATAAAGCCTAATAGTTGCTCGCTTGTTGTCATACGATCAAAGAATCGGTTCGGGACAATGATTAGAAGTAGTTCTAACGGAGCAATACAAGCAAACTGAGAAGAAAATGAATTTCAGTCGTCAAGATAATGTCCTCAATAATGTGGTGACGATTACTTCAACGCGAAAGACGGCCAGCGTGTTTTAACGTGTGCTAGGCTAATTAGCATCATATTTAGTTATTTCCTTTCTATTTTTGAAATTGAAAAAAAAAACAGGAGTTAACTAGAAGAAGAAAAAATTGTAAGAATATTCTTTTCGTTTGGCAGAAAATGTGAGATGAGATGTATCTCATTTGTTTAAACTGTTACAATATCAGATGATGGTGCATATCGTATCGCTTGCTCCGTTAAAGGGTACTATTTCTGTAAGCGGTTAGAACAGAAAAATTTCTGAAGAAGCTGAAGAAAAGCACGTTTGCCGGATTAACTATACGACAAATTGTTCACCTATAGAGAAAACATCAGCCAAAAGAAAGGCAATGCTTTTTGCGACTATAACAAATGACGATATTTTTATGCGATTCGTATATATACTATCGGCAATTGGTGGGTGAATAGGTCGCCGGAACCGATCATTAGGGTGCCAGCCGCAGATAGAAACCCTATCGCAGTAGCATCATGGCGGGGGCTGAATGCCCAGCTGGCAGATCAAGCGACGTACCTAATGGGCGCTATACCCTATCTGGCCGGCTGAGCGAGTCTGTCTGGTTAGTTGTATTATCCTATCAGTTGTGCCGTCAGTTTAACTATTCCGCTGCTCTTCAACTACTCGCGGCGATTTTTCGAGTTGTCATTTCGATCAAATAGAGAGATACGAGAGAGAACCGCCAAGCTAGTTCGAGTAGTAAATCAATACGAACTCTACCGTGCCCTTTCACCCAACCCACCTGTGCTTCGTCTAATGTATTGATAGCCCATCTGTATCCGTCGGAGATCAGCTTATATTTGCCATCTCTTCCTTTGCATAGCACTAAAAACATATATCATATAAAGTCAGCGTATAGGATTTCATTTATCTCTGCGTTTCTCGTCTTTGCAATGTTACCTATTGCTTTTGGCTCAATGCGCCGGAATGAAACTTAAGATAAGACGCTAAATTTAGAGGACAACATTTTTTCCCTTCTTCTATTGGATTCTATCTGAGCTATTCAGCGCAGAGTTTACCATTGTCAAGAGCGTAGAACGCAGACAGTTGCGCAATTCGACGCGCGTTTTTTCAAATTATCGCGTGTAATTAGCTACCCGTTGAATTTGATCTGGTCTCAATGTCAACGAAATTTTCAAGTTAAACTTCATTTCAGTTTTTCACACTGATCTACTATATATACATAGAAGCCTGCTATTTGAAGCCTCTATATTCATTAGTTAGCGAAATTCGCCTATAACCTAACCCCAGCACGTTCGCGAAGCACAGAAAC